TAGACTTTTCTCACTAGCGTTTGACACACCTATCTCAGACTTTTATCACCGTTGTTTGACACACCTATCTTAGACTTTTATCACTAGCGTTTGACACACCTATTTCAGACTTTTATCACTAGATTTGACACACCTATCTTAGACTTTTATCACTAGCGTTTGACACACCTATCTTAGACTTTTATCACTAGGGTTTGACACACCTATCTTAGACTTATCACTAGGGTTTGACACACCTATCTTAGACTTATCACTAGGGTTTGACACACCTATCTTAGACTTATCACTAGGGTTTGACACACCTATCTTAGACTTGTCTAAGATAGGTGTGTCAAACGCTAGTGATTTTTATCACTAGCGTTTGACACACCTATCTCAGACTTTTATCACTAGCATTTGACACACCTATCTTAGACTTTTATCACTAGCGTTTGACACACCTATCTTAGACTTTTATCACTAGCGTTTGACACACCTATCTTAGATTTTTATCACTAGCATTTGACACACCTATCTCAGACTTTTATCACCGTCGTTTGACACACCTATCTTAGACTTTTATCACTAGCGTTTGACACACCTATCTTAGATTTTTATCACTAGCATTTGACACACCTATCTCAGACTTTTATCACTAGCATGTGACACACCTATCTTAGACTTATCACTAGCGTTTGACACACCTATCTTAGACTTTTATCACCGTCGTTTGACACACCTATCTCAGACTTTTATCACTAGCATTTGACACACCTATCTTAGACTTTTATCACTAGCATTTGACACACCTATCTTAGACTTTTATCACATTATTCATAAACTCCACAATCAATATAATTTGGCATCCTTAAATGTCCATAATTTCATCCAGTTAATATTAAGGCTAAAAAACACAAATATGTCTTGAATAAACTATTAGAATGAGCTTTTTCCTGATTTTTTCAGATTTCAATACATCATCTTACTACTCCACCCAACTAACCATTAGGTTTGAATAGGTCCAGTATCGATACATCATCTTACTACTCCACCTAACTAACCATTAGGTTTGAATAGGTCCAGTGTCAATACATCATCTTACTACTCCACCCAACTAACCATAAAGTTTGAATAGATCCAGTATCAATACATCATCTTACTACTCCACCCAACTAATCATTAGGTTTGAATAGGTCCAGTATCAGTACATCATCTTA